TGTACATTAGGCAATTTCTGCTTCATGTCCTGTTTGGGGCAAGCCCTCTAAGTCATTGTTGCCCTGTGGCGTTTAAGACGGCAGTTGTGTGACGCTTACTGGCATCTGTAAGGCTCCTGTCCTACTATTTTAGTAATACCGTGGCAAATCTTTCTTCAAATTCTGGAAACCTGCAGTTAGCCATCACATCATCTGAAGCTCGGGGCAGGATTCTTGTTGCCACCGTCGTATTGATTGTCGACACAAGACTTACCATCACTTTAGTCATCCATAATTTCGATGAGTCTTCTATTTACTTGCGGTTAACTTAGCACCACATGAAGCCAGTTGTTTGATTCCTTTTTTAGATTATCACCTTTGTTTCACCTTGACGCATAAAAAGCAGCTATGTTAATGTTAATACATTTTTTTCTTCTAAACGTATGTGAGCAATGCAGAAAGAGACGAGTTTTGTATCGCAAGTTCCTTTAGTTAATGGTGGAGGGGTAATGGATCTCATTCTTTACCAGAGTTGTCATATGTACTACTATGGCAGGAATATATGATCTAAGCGTTCCCCGACTGCTCTCAGATTGAAAAGCAACGCCTAAGAAGACGTGTGTTCTGATTTCGCATAGCCAAGTGAAGTTGAACCACGATTTTTTGCTGTTGGTGTTCTGGAAGAAAGTGCCCATCTCGACGCCACTGTTTCTGGTCGTTCCGAGATCGTGCGTGATAACTCAGTTATGCTCTGGGTCCTACAACCGTTTTTGCAGAAGTCAGGTTGTAACTGAATTGGTTCCTGCAGTCCTTGGATTCTGTGATGACATCTCAAACCTCTCCTTTGGCCTTTCATTTTAAACTCTAACGACTGTGCCGGAATATTCTTATCAGTTGTAATAATCGCCAGCAGGAAGAAATCTCACAGGGGTTTTTGACTTTTAATGCGTGAGGTATTTGTCCTACTGGTGTTCGGCTGCATCCGTGAATATTACAGCTACGTAGTTCGTGGGTACTTATTTCACAGCTAGCCTTTGCTGAGGGCTGTTCTATTACGTGCATCCGCCGAGTGATCAACGCAACCAGCGAATTGGTCAATAAACAGGCTGCGCAGTTCAAACGCTCTGTGCATCGTCGGCTTCCAGATGTCAAGGGTGGTTTGGTTTCTTCAATGTTCTAAAAATATTTCTAACTTAGAGTTCTTGCTTACAGCCTCCACGCGAGGATTTCACAATTTGATCTTTGCTTGTAATGGTATTTCACTTCAGTAATAAGGGGCTTTTGTTTACAGTGTACTGCAACGTCGATAGATTCAGTTTATGGATGTCAAACTGTGCACTGATTAGGCGTGCCAAGTGGCACTAAGCAAAATCAGACAGATATCGTCAGGGTACATTATATGAATTTCGGAATTGGTGTTAAGTTTCCAAATTAGTTGGAGGAATATTAACGTGTAGTTTATCGGTGCATGCAAAAAGTCGTTATCGGAAGTAGCTTGAAAGAATTAACGTTCATTGCTGTTTCCGTCTCGGGTACAGTATCCTAGCCGGGACCTGAAAAACCAAGGCATTAAAGTTCTTGTTCTAGCAACAAAGCACGCATATTCTATAGCTCTTTATTCTATTCCACGATGGGCTTATTAGATAATCCAGCGAAAATTACAAAAAATAACGACAGTACTCCTCTCCACATGCATTTTTTGGAGGTGTCAGTGAATCTTATAGGTTTAGGCCTCATACACCATTATCTTAGCTTTATAATTTGATAGGGATGATGTTGGTGTTATTTTGACGATTTAAGCAAACATCCGAGCGAGGTGTTTATGTTCTAAACTCCCATATAAACATCATTATACCTTAAGTTGCTTTCTAAGCTCATTTTTAGGGCACATAGGGGCAGCTTAACGTGCTCGTTTAGTCTGTCTGTTAGATGGAATCAATATATGTTATGTGTTGCAGCTTGTTGGACGGGTAAAGTAACCCCATTGTGAAAACCCCAGGCCCCCTTGGTCAGGCGGCAGAAGGTTTGTTTTACTTAAACCTAGCCCTATCCGTCCTGGATTAAACGTCTGTCGCGTTTCTTGCAATTTGATGGTCAGGTCAAAACACAGGTTCACAGTTTCTTAAAAAAAATGGGTCAAGAAATTCTTTAAAGATACGCGTTTTATTGAGTTGGTCAGTTAGAGAACTGTCAGTAATCTGGTATTTCAACAAGGGTACGATGGTATGTCACCAGTGAATACATTTTTGCATACAAACCAGAACAATGATTTTTGACCACTACGTTTGTTTACTTTAGGAAATGGTTCTTTGCCGTAGTTCATCACCTTTTTAGGCGTAAATTATGATCAAAAATTCTCTCGGCTAA